GAGTTGGGGCAGGGACTTTGGGGAAGGGGATGGAATGGGGGCGGAGAAGGGGTGGGGTTGGGGCGGGGAAGGGGGCGGGGAAGGGGCGGAGTTGGGGCAGGGTCGGGGGCGGGACCGGGGCCCCGTGGAGTGTCCTCTTTTTTAAATGTTTGAATATGGTAACCCTAAAGTTCGATATAACGTGGTTTCACCTATAACACGGTAAGTTTTTTTGGCTCCCGAGGACAGCGTTATATCGGGGTAGAGGAGTAGTACTGAGTGTCAGTGAATGCAATTAATAATACTAAATGAGCAGTATGGTAATAATAATTAAATAACAGCATTGACTTATTTTGTTTAGGAGAATCCATCCTCAACATACAGGATTCTGAAGACTATCCACCTTCAAGATCACCATCATTTTCTATAGTTTCAGAGTTATCTGCCAATGATAGTGTTTCAGTCACATCATGTATGTCACATAGCCACAGTATATCACCTGTAGCAAAAAGGGGAAAAAATCTCCATCATCCAGAAACAACCATAGATAAATTTGTGATAAGAACCAGCAGATTACAAAAAGAGGTAATTGATGAAAAAGTTGCCCGGTTTGTTTATGCAACAAACTCTCCTTTCCGTATGATTGAGAAGTTGAACCCACACTTCATTAACATGGTTCAGTCATTAAGACCAGGATACAGTCCACCCAACAGAGCAGATGTCGCAGGCAAATTGCTGGATAAAGTGTATGAAAGAGAAATTGAGCAGTGTGCAAAAGGTCTAGAGGGTGAAATTGTTAACTTGAGTCTTGATGGGTCGAGCAATGTCCACAATGATCCTGTTGTATGTGCTTGTGTGACAACAGAAGAAGGGAATGTCTTCCTTACAGAAACAATTAATACATCAGGAAATGTACACACAGCAGAATGCTTACAAGTAGCAGCAGTAAAAGCTATAACAAACTGTGAAAAAAAATTCAAATGTCTAGTACGCAGGTTAGTCACAGACAATGCTGCAAATGTATCCAAGATGAGAAGAAATTTAGAAGAGAGTCCCAAGCTAATAACATACGGTTGCAGTGTTCATTTGATGCACCTCCTGGCCAAAGACTTCAGTGTTCCAGAAATAAAGGCTAATGTTGTTGAAATTGCAAAATACTTCTGTAACAACCACTTTGCAGCAGCTGCTCTGAAAAAAGTGGGAGGAACCAAGCCAACTCTCCCACAAGACGTGCGATGGAACTCAGTAGTGGACTGTTTTGAGCACTATATCAAGAACTGGCCTAATCTGATAACAGTTTGTGAACAAAATAATGAAAAAATAAATGGCACTGTCACAGCCAAAGTTCTCAACATTGGGCTTAAGAGAAATGTTGAACACATGCTGAGTATCCTGAAGCCTATTTCTGTAGCCTTGAACAAAATGCAGGGAAATAGCTGTTTTATTGCTGACGTTGTTGAAATTTGGAAGGAACTGAGTGAGATCTTAAAAAGAGAAATATGCAATGACAGAGTTAAATTACAAGCATTAAAAAACCGAATGGGACAAGCACTATCTCCAGCTCATTTTCTTACAAATATTCTCAATACTCGGTACCAGGGTCAAACCTTAACTGCTGAAGAAGAGGAGTTGGCTATGACATGGACCTTCAGCAATCATCCCTCCATAATGCCAACTATAATAAACTTCAGAGCTAAGGATGAACCGTTCGTGAAATATATGTTTGCTGATGATGTTTTAAATAAAGTCACACCAGTGAACTGGTGGAAGTCACTTAAGCACTTGGATTCAGAGACTGTTGAAATGATGATCTCACTTTTAACAGCAGTAGCTTCTTCTGCTGGTGTAGAAAGAATATTTTCTTCCTTTGGACTAATTCATTCCAAACTGAGAAATCATTTGGGACCTGAAAAAGCAGGAAATCTTGTTTTTCTTTTCCAGATTAAGAACAAACAGGAAAATGAAGGTGAAGTCGACTAAGTTAGCTGCAGAATCCAATATTTTAAGTTTCTCATGTTGACCTGGCTGACATAGTTGATTTAATTTTTTTTTTAATATTTCATTTAACTATTTTAGGTAAAAATAATTTTAACAAAAGCAAACCTGATTTTAAAAAACTTGAATGTTTAACTAAATTCAAAAATTCATATGCTTGTTTTGTTAAAATATTATATGTTTGCTGTTGAAGAAAAATATCCAGAATACATAACGTTGTTGTTTTAAATCAAATCCACCCTGGTTTAAAGGCTTCAAGTTACAGAGAATCCACCATTTACTCTAGTTTAAACCTGCAAATGACCCGTGCCCCACGCTGCAGAGGAAGGTGAAAACCCCCAGGGTCTCTGCCAATCTGACCCAAGGGAAAATTCCTTCCTGACCCCAAATATGGTGATTAGTTAGAACCTGAGCACGTGGGCAAAACCCACCAGGCAGACACCCGGGAAAGAATTCTCTGTAGTAACTCAATGCCCCATCTCCAGCCATTGGAGATATTTGCTACTAGCAGTCACAGGTCAGCTACATGCCATTGTAGGCAGTCTCATCATTACCATCCCCTCCAGACACTTCACAAACTCAGTCTTGAAGCCAGTTAGATTTTTTGCCGCCACTGGGAGACTGTTCCAGAACCACATTCCTCTGATGGGTAGAAACCTTCATGTTATTTCAAGCCTAAACTTCTTGATGGCCAGTTTATATCCATTTGTTCTTGTGTCAACATTGGACTTAACTTAAATAACTCCTCTCCCTCCCTGGTATTTATCCCTCTGATGTATATATAGAGAGCAATCATAGCTCCCCTCAGCCTTCGTTTGGTTAGGCTAATCAAGCCAAGCTCTTTGAGTCTCCTCTCATAAGGTAGGTTTTCAATTTCTCAAATCATCCTAGTAGCCCTTCTCTGCACCTGTCCCAGTCTGATTTCATCTTTCTTAAACATATGAAACCAGAATTGCACCCAGTATACCAGATGAGGTCTCACCAATGCCTTGTTCAATGGTAAGAACACTTCCCAATCTCAACTGGAAATCTCTCTCTTGATACATCCTAGGAGGACGGCATTAGCCTTTTTCATGGCCGCATCACATTGGCAGTTCATAGTCAACCTGTGAGTAACCAATACCCCCAGGTCATTCTCCTCCTCTGTCACTTCCAACTGTTAAGTCCCCAAACTTGTTCATAACTGTTCACTATGTCATTTGGAAAGGAAAGGGTTAATATGTTACTGTAGAACCACAAAAATTTGAAATGGGAAAGACCTATTGATCTGTTAAGTCACCTAGCCTGTCCCCTACCGGTCGGCAAGATTGTTCACTGCAATATCAATCTTATATTTACATTGTAGTAACCTTCGTCCCAAAGGAACCCAAAATGCCTTACAGACTGATCTGCCAGGGTCACACTAGCCTCCAATCGAGTGAAATGGACTAGCAGTTTAACAAAGTGAAGTAACCCCATTCAGCATTTTATGACAAGTGACAAATATGCACGCCATCCTTGGCTCAGCTCATTCTGTGTTCTCTGAATCCACAGAGCAGCAAATGAGAATTTCACATTGCAAGAGCTATAGCAAACAGAGAAAACAACCTGACTTAAGGATTGAGTGTCAACTTTAGGAGTAAATCCACTGTGGTGTGTTCATTTAAATCACTCCTTTATGGCTCATTTAAGCTAGATTTGTGTATAAAACATGCAGATACAAGAGCAGCCAAGAGATAACATTTGTAAAAAAGTATTAGATAATTAAAGTGCAATAAGATCAGAAAAAGAGAGTTTTAAATGATACTACTGATGTTATTATGAGTTGGCAAAGTTTATAACCGGTTCTTTTTAACTGGATTTTATTTCAGACTGGAATAGGCAACATCTGCTGTGGATACTCTGTGCTTTTCAGGGCAACATTCTCCTCTCCAATCCACTTGTTAATATCTTTTCAACATTGCAGATTTCAGATCTGTTGCATATTCTGTACTCTTCTGCATGCATGGGCGGCGCGTGAGCCCCCTGTTCAGGGAGAGTAGCCCCCAGCTCTGCCCCTTCTGCCCAAGGACCCTCCCCTACCCCATCCCTTCTGCCCCCTCCTCCCCCGGCAGAGCCCTGAGCCCCAACCACCCTGAGCCCCAAGCCACCGCCGGCTGGCCCATGCACCGGCCAGTCGGACAGCCCGCCAGCCCACCCAACCCCTAGCCCGCCAGCCCGCCCACCCTAGCCCCAGCCAGCTTTGGGGGAGAGGCTGAGCAAGGGTGGGGAAGAGGAGCAGTGTGAGGCTGAGCAAGGGCGGGGAAGAGGAGCAGTGTGGGTGGGGCCATGGGGGAAGTGCGGGAACGGGGTCTCAGGGCAGAGCATGGGTGGGGCCACACCTGGCTGTTTGGGGAGGCTTAGCCTCCCCTGGCCTAAGATACCCACTGCTCATGTCTGCATGTGCGACTTCCACTGATGTCAGCAGTAGTTCTACACCAGTGGTTCTCAAACTTCTGTACTGGTGACTCCTTTCACACAGCAAGCCTCTGAGTGCGACCCCCCTTATAAATTAAAAACACTTTTTAATATATTTAACACCATTATAAATGCTCGAGGCAAAGCAGGGTTTGGGGTGGAGGCTGACAGCTCGCGACCCCCCATGTAATAATGTCGCGACCCCCTGAGGGGTCCTGACCCCCAGTTTGAGAACCCCTGTTCTACACTGAATAAGTGCAAATCACTGCTTTGTGGATAGGAGATATGCTGTACATAGTGTTCAGGAAAATATTGCCTTTCTTTCGTCTGTGGATATTTTAACACTTGCTAGCTGGTGGCAACAATTTCCCTAGTGTAGATGCCTCATTTCCTGCACATTATCACAGCCAAAACTTGGCACCAAAGTGTTAGCAGCAGCTTTGCCAGCTGAGGTAATCAATCTAGGTTTGTACACCTTATAACGGATCTTCTTCCGGGGCTGAACCTACAAAGGGCAAGCCAAACCTGTTTCAGCTGCACAACGTCTTTTGCAAACTTGCACTCCCATTGAAAAGGAACTATACTGATACCTTTAAGTCACTGCTCTCTGCTTCCCGCAACTTCTTCAACCTGAAGTCCCCCTCACAAGGGTTCAGAGCAGAAGGTGGAGCCACGCAGGCACACTTGCAATCAGGTCCTGAAGTGATGGTTTCTACGGTGTAAAAATCCTCTGCTTTGGAAGCGCCTTCATTAATCCTTTGGCAGGCGCCTCGGCCCAGAGGTCTGACCAGACACTTACACTGACAGTTGGAGCCTTCAGACACTGCTTTCACCTTGTCATAGTCACCTAGCAACTAATCACAAAAAAATCACAATGCATCAGTTTGCTCCTAACATAAGATTTTACTTTTGGTTTGCTTTGTAAAGTTTTTGAGAAAGGCTCAGATACTCTGAACCTTGCAGAAATAGGTCACTGCTGCTTACACAAATTGCTGACTAACATTTCTTCGAGAGTGCTTGGTTTTTTGCTACTTAGATATTTGGGAAAGAGGGATTTCTGATGGGGTATTTCCTTTCACCATTGGAAAAGAAACTGCTCAAGTCCAAACAGTCCTTATCTACAAAGGGTTTGGCAAAATTAAAATTTAAACAAAGGGACAGAGCCACCACAATTTATATTAAATACACTGATTCTATCAGAGTTAATCCACTGAATTCTTTGCAACTACATACAAGGTGCTCTACGTGGGTGGGTTTTAGGAGTTAAGGGAGTCAATGCGTGATCTGGAATAATGCATAAAAGTAACCCATATACTTCCTGGTAATATATAATTTCTAATAGTCTCCTACAATTCCACGGGTTTCCTTTATAGACATTCACAGAAATCAGTCATGAAATTGAAATATAAAAATAACTTGACAGTATGTTTTCAATATTCTTCTGTATTAGCCATTTCCAAGGATAGATAATACTGCACAGTACATCTGCCAAATCTAACAGAGAACACACCCTGAACTTTGCTGCTTTACTCCAGATGCACTATTCTTGAGACAAGGTGGGGGAGGGAATATCTTTGATTGGACCAACTTCTGTTGGTGAGAGAGACAAGCTTTGAAGCTTACAGTGAACTCTTCCTCCTGTCTGATTTGCGAATAAAACACGCAGACACAGGAGCAGCCAGGAGGTCTGGTCTGAAGAAGACCTCTGTGTAAGCTGGAAAGTTTGCCTCTCTCACCAACAGAATACAAGATATGACCTCACCCACCTTCTCTGTCTAATATCCTAGGTCCAACAGGCTACAACACCGCATACATGGAATACTCTTGATTTTCAATCATTTCTTTATGATACAGAGAAGCTGTGAATTGATTCTCCAGTTCCCTATACAGCAGTTCATCTGTATCCAGGGCACAATTATTCTGCTGCAGTTGCAAATAAACAAAAGGATGAATGGAATTAACTATGCAGATTGACAGGTTTCAGAGTAGCAGCCGTGTTAGTCTGTATCCGCAAAAAGAACAGGAGTACTTGTGGCACCTTAGAGACTAACAAATTTATTAGAGCATAAGCTTTCGTGGGCTACAACCCACGAAGAAGTGGATTGTAGCCCACGAAAGCTTATGCTCTAATAAATTCACTATGCAGATTGGCAATTAATTATATGCAGCAATAATCAGAATAATAAACCTCTCCTGCTCTCAGCTCCAATAACTAATCCAGTTCCCAAAACGGGAGAGCAAGACAGTTCGGATTCGTAAAGCCACAGGAATTTGGCTCTCCCTTAGCCACTCGCTGCCTTGCCGCCTCACGCCTGACCGGGAGCCACACCTTAGAGCAAGCGGGGCTGGAAGGGTTAAAGCCCCAGCGTCCTTTAGGGAAACTTGGCACCAGAGGGCCAAGTCCCAGCGCCTTTGTGCAGAGCCGGGAGAGTGACACGCCCGCACGCAGCTCCCTGGCGAGGGATCCCCAAGCCCGGTTGGTGCCAGGGCAGCTCGGCTCTGCACACTGGGGGAGAAAGGTTACCTGAGATAAGATGTTCTCTTGGTTGTCCGCCTCGTTTTGCAGGGGCTCCTCCTCTGGGACCCCCTCCGGCTGCGTGGTGCGGGCCGAGCCGGGCCGGGCGGGGGTCGCAGTCGGGGGGGCGCCCCTGCCCGCAGCCACGAGCGCAGCGCAGCAGCACAGCAGCACCAGGGGCTGAGCCATGGAGGCAGCGGGCAGGGCGGCCTCAGCGGAGATCTCGGCTCCGAGCGCTCCCTCAGGCTAGGTGCGCGGCAAGGGCCGCTGCCGGGGCGCGCCGTGCATGCCCCCCGGGGAGGGCGCAGGGCTCCGCTTGCGCAGCCGGGTGCGCTTCCCTGGCGAGTGTCGGCAGAGCGCGCCGGGCTGGCGGCTGGCTGTGCTCGGCTGCAGGGCAGGGGGCGGGAGGAGGAGCCTGGCTATTGTGTCTCTGCTCGGCCGAAGCAAGGACAGAGGAGGAGCAGACCGGGCTAGCGGTTGGCACCGGCGCCTGGAAGCTGGAGGTCCCGCGCCCGCCCCAAGGGTCTGAACCCCTCCGCCCCGTGGCTGCCCGTTCACCTCGGGCAGGTGCCGTGCACCGGGGCTGGCAGGTTGGGGCAGCGTTCAGAGGGCGCTCGGCAGAGCCCAGGGCAGTGAGCCCATCCCCGCTGGGCTGCCATCTCCCCAGAGCCCTGTATCAAAGGGATGGGGGCGCCCTGGGCACGAGGGCATTGCCATCCCTCCCCTGCGCTGAGGGGCTGGGGCTGCCACCCCACCCCAATCCCATCAATGCTCTGTCCAGCCAGGGACCCCTCCCCAGCTGCCCACAGGACAGTGGCAGCTGGTCCCCACACTAGCTGTGCCAGCCAGCCTAGCACTGAGCACTGTGACAGTCACCAGGCAGGCCACAGCTGAGGAGAGGGACTATATGGGTTAATGCAAGAGCGGGTGCGAGAGGCTGTGCCCGAGGCCCTAACCTCAGGCTTGGCACATGGCTCCCCTGCACAGACAGAGACAACGGGCGGGCTCCAGGGGAAGGGAACGGAGAGGGGAGCTCTCACCCATCCCTCTGGCAGAGACTTGGGAGGCACAACAGCATCCATGCAGGAGGGGGAGCCCCAGAGAACCTCTGCGGCACAGTATGGGTCCTGGTGCAGGAGCTTAGGGGTGGCAGGCACTGTGCTGGCCGCCAGCAGAGCGCATTCACACAGCTTAGGGTTCCGGGTGCGATTTCCCCCATCTCCAGGGAAGGTGAGGGAGGCAGCTAGAAGGGCTGCTTAGGGCTGGAGGGAGGCAAGGACTGCTGGGTGGGTGAGATGTTGGATGGGCGCTGTATGCGTAGTGGGGGAACCAGGGTTTCTGGATGGCCGATGGAGGTAGCCAAGTGGTTGCTGGGGGTTACCTGACTGGGGCTGGAGCTGTGTGTAAGAGCTGGGGTAGGTGGGCACTGGTGTGGCTGTGGGTAGCTAGGAAGTGTCTGTGTAACACAGACAGACCCCAGTCATCAGCAGGCGGGATCGAACCAGTGACCTCTGGAGCTAAATGCATGAGCTAAAAGCCACATGGCCCTTAGCTAAGGCTATAGAGCAGACTCATTAGTCTCTAAGTGGTCTCAGTGCCACTAGAGGGGACAGAGCAGAATACCCAGAAGGTGTGTGGGTTACATCTGTCAGGGGGTTAGTGCTGTGCTTGTCCCTGCCCGACTGAGGGGTAGCTGGTGGGGAGGTTTCTGAGGGTAGCTCTGGAGAGGTGCTGGTGAGGTTAATGCTGGATTAGTGGGGAGGGTTCTGGGGAAACTGCGCAGCAGCGTGTCAGGAGATAATAGTATTAGAACTAACAGCACATAAAGGCCACCTGAGATCCAGGCCCCTTGTGCCAGGTGCTGCACAGATGCAAGATGAGAGGTGATCTCTGCCCCCATACGCTCACAGCCTGAATAGCCGAGGCAGACAATAAGTTTGGGTGGGGAAGGTTACAGCCCATGCAGAGCAAACTAGCATCCTGTTGTGCCTGGGTTTTTTGGAGGGGATGTTTGTTTTTCATGTATGTTAATCAGTTGGGAAGGGTCAGAGACAAAGGAGGAAGGTGGGCCCGGCCTTAGGGGTGGGCCACCCAGGCAATCACCCAGAGGTGCCATGGTCAAGGGGACAGAGGTGTGTGCTGCTGGTGTAGTCAGAAACTGCTCACACCTGGCAGGGGAGTGCTACGTGGGGGGATGCCTAGATTTCTCCCTGATTCCTCCCAGCAGAGGAATGTGGGGGAGGGCGCGCCAGCGAGCAATGGCACACAGATACTGCTCGCCTCCTCCCAACCTTCCTCTGCAGCCCCCTAGGGGGCTGTGAGTCGGGGAGCGAGGAGCAACATCAAGCACTCTATATATCCAGGTCACTTTCCCCACCTGGGCTGTTCTGTGAGGTGAGCATCAGGAACTGCTGTCCTTCCCTTACGCAGACCAGGTGGCGAAAGTGACCTGGATGCAGAGAGTGCTGATGTTCCTTGCTCCCTCTCAGAGCCCCCTAGCCATGCACAGAGGAGCAGCATTCAAGGGGGGAGCAGCCAGTCGCTCTGTGCATCCAGGTCAGTTTCCCATGTGATCGCAGGAAGGGGATGCAGGGATTAAGGGTGAAGGGGGGTGAAGAGCCCATGGGGGCCAAGGACAATGGGAGGCACCCACAAGGGCCAGGGACAATGGGGGAGGCACAGCACTCATGGGGGTCAAAGGCACCAAAATACAAGTTCACCGAGGGCACCATTTTCCCTAAGGCTGGCCCTGGAGGGAGGGGACCGGGCAGGGGGAGCAGGAGGGAGGGGGAGAATGTGGGGCAGCTGGAGCAGTTGGAGGCAGCAGCCAATCTGCAGAGGGGAGCAAATGTCCAAAGTGATCACTGCAGGCAGCACCCTTTACTAGTGTGCTATGGATGGTCCCTGCTGCCCTGCACTGCCAGCTGAGTCTCTCCCCCGAACATGTGGGGCTGGCTGGCAGTGGGAGCACTCAGAAGAGGGAGAGAGAGCCAGTCCCCTGCCTGCAGAGCAGGTCTCAACAGCCCCAGAGACTGGGAGAATCAACTGCAAGCAATCCTGTGGGCAGGCATGACAGACGGTGAGTGTCACACAGGAGGCTGGACATGTGGTGTAGGCCCCACTGTGTGGTATTTCTTGCAGTTTTATCATGTCTTCTGGTTTTTTATGGCTTTTTTAAGCCCCAGCTCCTGGAGTCATGGGAATACACTTGAATCCCAGCTTTCATTTTTAAAAGTCCATTTCTAGCCCTCTTGGTTGCACCATAATGCCTCAAAACACAGCCCCTAAAGGCTATGACACCAGAAGGCAAATAAACAGAACCTAGATGTTTTTTAAAATTTCCTGTTTTTTAAGCCAATCTTGCGTTTTCTGGAACCTGGCTCATGGCTTTTGAATGCTTCAGGTGGGCAACACTGCAGCCCTAAAAGACATGCATTTGCAATACAGTATGGTTTCAGAAAAGGGCAGTGCCATTTTTGGGTTGCATATGCAAAGGCATCACATCATAGAAGGGGGATTTACTCACCTTTTCTCTCTGTGCAGCTACACCTGGACTAGGGTATTTAATGTTGGGCTCCAACAGAAAGAGCTGACAAGTGGGAAGCAGTTCAGAGGAAAGCAACTATAGCCACAGTGTGATAGAGGGACTGAGTGATGAGGACAGATTAAAATATGTGTAGTATGGCTAAGTGAAGACTTCAGTGGGGTGTGTATGGAGGGTGACGGAAATGAAAGCACTCTGCAGATATTTGGAGAGTGAAAGCACCAGCTAGGCTGAAGAGCTATGGAGGGTGAAATATGAGGGCAGTGGTTAAAGATCAGAATAAATGGGGGATTTTCCCAGTGCGGGAGGCTGTATGTCATCATGGGCACTAGCACATGGCGAAGTGACCCTCTGTCATATTGTGTGATAGGACACAACACAGGAAGGAGAACAGGGCCAATGGAATAACAGTATCTGAAAAGAGACCATGTCCCCAAACATGCCCATAGTTAGCCTCGCAAAAGTGTGCATGGCACGCACAGAGCAGGGAATACTGGCCCTTCAGAGCTGAGCAGGGAAGTCTCTGAAGCTGTTCTGCCTTGTTCCAGAAGTCGTACTGCAAAGACAGACCCATGGGACAAAAGACTCAACCCTTGGGTGACGGTTTGGTCTGAGACACAGCTCAAACTCAGATTCTAGGGTCAGGAACCTAGGCCTTGAAGGCAGGTGGGGCAAGGCTCCCCTCTCCGCCACAAGGACTTCTGGGAAGCGTAGTCCCCAGGGGAGTCAGGGACATGGAAAATGTAGGCCTCTACATTGCAAGATTTGCTGGGAACAAGAGCAAGACATAAGCAGTGTCCTCCCTTGTCAGGGGAAGTGTGGAGGGAGCCAGAGCTGTTGGTGGTCTCTTCCAGAGCCGGACAGAGCCCTACCTGCTTCACTGGCCTGAAATTTTGGGCAGCCAGAATCCAGACAGCCAGTGGGAATGTGAGGTGGGCGAAACCTCAGAAAAGGCAATTCTGGGTTCTGTAAAAACTCCATGGGTTGGCCTTCTGCAGCCACTGGCCTGAAAGCAAGACCATCTTTTCTGCTTCCCCTCTAGATGCCCTCATACCCTGCCATGGAGTGGCAAGAGAGGGTGCTGGTGGGAAGGCCTGGGTCCCAGAAAACTCCTCTGCCAAGCACCAATGCAGCCTGTTGCTCCCACTGCAGTTCCCCAAGCAGCCCATGAAGAGGCAGAAAGGGAGGTTCAGGGAGAGCTGAGCTCAAACGAGGGAGAAGGGAAGAAACTCTCCCTCTGCTTTTAGTGGAGGACAGGACCTGTGATCTCCAGCATTCCCATTTTATTTTAATCACAGCTGAGCCAGGCTAAGCACTAATGGCAGGCCCTGAGAGCAGCTCTCGGTTGCTGGGCTGATATCCAGCACAATTGTGCGAAGGGAAGGGACATGCTTCTCTGAAGTATCCAGCTCCGCACGTCCGGCTTGCTGGGCTGTTGTCAAGGTACAAGCCTCTCCAAGTTTACTGGCTCAAGGCTCAGGCTCTGTGAAGTCACTGACTTAGCACCTTCCTCTGGCTTGCTGGCCTGCTGTCCGGGGACGTCACTAGCTCAGCGATTTCACCACTCTGGGCTGATGTCAAAGCTGGCTTCTGTGCAGGTGACCAGCTCACTCCTGTCAGTGTGAACCTTTCTTGGCTTATGTCAAGGCACAGGCTCTATACGGTCACAGGCTCAGCTCTGCGAGCTGGCTGGTCTGATATCAAGGGATAAGTTCGTTGTATCAGCACCTGTAGTTTGTCGTGCTTACATGAAGGCCCCGATCATTAGGGCATCAGGCCAGCCAGAGGACTTCCTGTGGTTAATGATTCAATGTCTCTGGCTTGCT